GTAATTCTCGGAGCTGACACTAAAGCGAATAGCGTACAACTGTTTAGGAAATTGGATTGGGCTCCATTCTTTCATGAGGCAAAAGTAAATAGGTCACTAATGGTGTACAAACGATTGTCTGGGGACTGTCCACCTTATATGTCCCAAATGCTCGTAAGAAATGCAGACATAAATGAAAGATCAAGCAGACATGGACAACTAAACCTCGTCTGTCCCCGATTCAAACGGGAGTCAGAGGGAGGTAGGTCTTTCACAGTATCGACCTCACGCCTCTGGAATACCTTACCACTGGACATAAGAATGAAACCTACTATCAAATGTTTTAAGAAGGCCATGTTAGATTTTTTTAAGAATAGTTATAAACGATTAGAACATTTTATCTTATAGTTTTTATAAACTTTGTAATTTTAGATTTTTAGCTCTTGATCTTTTTCCATAATTAATTAGTTTTTAATCTTTTTTAATAATTATTTGTAATATATTTTAAGAGGGCCACTGGTTTGTCAGTTTTATACTGTTATGTGTTTTACCCTCTTTAAATAAAGTTGATTATTATTATTATTATTATTATTCAAATGCATTATTAAATCATGAATCATCTGGTACATTAAGAGGTATACAACATAACAACAACAACATCTTTATTTATAATCACAGTTTAACTTCTAGATTAAGACTACCTGCAATATAGCGAAGCTAATCGAGGCAGGTAGTATGAGAAACGTGTCAATTACATATTAAAAATAACATTATTCTAATGACAAAAAATAAAAAAACAATTGCAAAGACACAGATGTCAATTCCGAAAGTGAATACAAAAATATAGGTATACTAATTACGAAGCCACGAGCACATAATTAAAAACAGGAAAAGCTCAAAATGCTCTTTATTTTAACGAAATATAGTTTCATGTCATATCATTTATTAACATATCAATATCAGGATAAGAATCCTGGTTTAGAAGGATTTGAAATAAAGATTCGGTTGTTTTTTTTCTTGAAACTACATTTTGGGAGCTGTCTCAAAACATCAGGAATACAGTTCTAAATTTTTGCGCCCATAGAGGAAAAATAATTCTTATAGTGATTTAGTCGAGAGTAGTTTATATAGAAGTTACCAGCGGTTGAAGATCGTGTGTTATAATGATTAGCATCTTTAATGGGTCTAAAGAGAGCAGAAATGTTAGATGACACGACTTTGTTATGGACATCATGCATTAAGATAGAGCAATTTTTAAAGGAGACTAAAGGTAAAGGCAGAATACTGGTCGAGAGAAAAAGTGAAACAGCATGAACATTAAACTTAGAGAAATTCATCAGGCGGACTATCCGTCTTTGAAGATGGAGTATCTTGTTTAGGTGCGTTTTGGCTGCCTGTCCCCAGGCAGTAAGGTCATAGGAGATATATGGAAGAATAAGAGATCTATATATATTAAACAAGGTCACGAAGGGAGTGAAATTCCTTAATCTAGATATTATACTTATACGACTACTGATCTTTGACGCGATGTGGCTGATATGATATTTCCAACAGAGATTACTATCCATTAGTACCCCTAAGTACTTAACATATGATTTACGTTCTATACTTATCAGTCTGTTACTTTTGTTGTCATATATAATAAGTTTAACTTCATAATCTAAGCGTATTTGGTATGGATGAAAGATAACAGAATTAGTTTTCTTTATATTTAAGGAGAGTTTATTAGCACTTAGCCAGTCACAGACATTAAGTAGCTCCACGTTTACAACAGATTCAAGTGATTTTAAATTCTTATCAGCATATAACAGGTTTGTATCATCAGCGAATAGGTAGAATCCTAGTTTTTTTGAAGCCTTGTAAATATCATTAATATAAACAAGAAACAATAAAGGACCCAAAACAGAACCCTGTGGCAATCCACAAGAGGTTTTTTTCTTTTTTAGAAATATAGGCACCGACCTGAGTGGTTTGGGTTTTTCCATTTAAGTATGAACAGAACCAATCATTGATTATACCACGAATTCCGTAATGAGCCAGCTTACGTAATAAGATATAAGGATCGACAGTATCGAATGCGTATGATGCACGATCCTCGCAGTAGATAGCGCTATTTAAGCAATAGCGAAAATCAGACCTGAAAAAAAATCAGGCCTGTACGGGACTCGAACCACTGACCTCTGCGATACTAGTGCAGCGCTCTACCAATTGAGCTAACAAGCCAACTGGGAGCAGGCCGTTAAGTTGATTCGTAATAAACCCGTGAAAGTGATAAAT